TTGTGACTACCAATTTTTGTCAATTACCATTCAAGCTGTCATTGCAATCAATCTTATATTGTTCCTGCTGTATTGTGCCTACCAATTTTTGTCAACTACCATTCAAGCTGTCATTGCAATCAATCTTAGCTACCTATGTGCTTTAATATACTGTACCTACAATTTTCTCTCATCTTATTTTTTTCATTCCACGTAACTGTTATCATTTTTTTGTCTATAAATTTTGCAAGCATTTACCTTCTTAAAATTTTCTTTGATTAAGGACCTGCCCGAAACGCTGCGCGTACTAGTGGCTTTACAAGACTGTAATTACCATATTATGTATCCTCACATTCCCAATGTACATTCTTGTATATGCATAAATAAATAAATAAATAAATAAATAAATAAAGAGTTGCTCGGTCGATCGATCTGTCTGGGGTCGGAGCTCGGCTATTATAAAAATACACGTATCTTCGCTTTAAATTTAAATATACCCATGGTAAGGTATTTAGAATGAAGCTTATATTTCTATCTTTCTTGTGACATATAAAACTCTTACGTTTATGAAGAAATCTGCGTGAAATAGGCATGGTTCTGAGATGAATGCTGCGGTTTTCGAGCTCGATGCGCGACAATGGACGCCATGCACATCCAGTGGGTGTTATTGGACCCCATACCCATTCTATGGGTGGTTGGAGCCCCATACTCATTCTATGGGTATTTGGAGCCCCATACCCATCCTGTGGGTTGTAGTGGACGCCATACTCATCCTGTGGGTGGTATTGGACCCCATACCCTTCCTGTGGATGGATGTGGTCCCCATACTCATCCTGTGGGTGGATGTGACCCTCATACCCATCCTGTGGGTGGTATTGGACCCATTACCCACCTAACAGGTGGTAGTGGACAATATACCCATCCTAGCTATAGTTGGTATAGTAGACACAATAATATCCTGTTTGCAGTAGTTTACCCCATAGACATTCCAACGTAACATCGTTTTCTGTTAGCGTTCCTACAAAACATCCTTTAAAGATTTATAAATAAATAAATAAATATGTTTATTCAGGTAAGGTACATACATACAAGTGATGTTACATTAATGGATTGATATAAAGATAGAGCTAGTACATACAATGCCTAAAGCCACTATTACGCAATGCGTTTCGGGCAAGAAAAACATTAATATCTAGAAGTTAATACTAATTGAGCATAAAGAATAAAAAGTGTTGAAAACAAATACAAATAAAGATAAAAAAAAGGGGGAACATGACTGAAAAAGCAGCACAAATACAATAGGTTGACAAACAGTGTTGATTAAAAAATAATAATAATAATAAAATAACAGACATGGGTTGACAATAAAGGAGTGAGGTGGGTTACAGGGAATTTATTAGGTAGTGTTTAGTTTTTATCTTAAACTGGTTGAGAGAGGTACAGTCTTTAACATGGTTGGGAAGGTCATTCCACATTCTGGGTCCCTTGATTTGTAGAGCATTTCTAGTTTGATTAAGTCGTACTCTAGGAATATCAAAACTGTATTTATTCCTGGTGTGGTGCTCATGGGTTCTGTTACAACCTTCAATGAAGCTTTTGAGGTCAGGATTGGCATTACAGTTCAGCGTTTTATATATGTATAATACACAAGAGAGAATGTGCAGTGACTTAATATCTAACATATTCAGAGATTTGAGTAAGGGTACCGAGTGCTGTCTGGGGCCAGAGTTGGATATTGTCCTAATAGCAGCTTTGTGTTGGGTAATGAGAGGACGTAAATGATTTTGGGTAGTAGAACCCCAAGCACAAATACCATAGTTGAGGTATGGATAGATGAGGGAGTAATAGAGAGTAACCAGGGCAGGGCGGGGTACATAATATCTGATCTTAGAAAGAATGCCAACAGTTTTTGAAACTTTTTTTGATATATTTAGAATGTGACCCTGGAAATTCAGCTTGTGGTCGATGAGAACGCCAAGGAATTTGCCATCTAATTTGTTACAAATTTGGGTATTGTTTATTTTGAGATTTATCTGATTAGAGGATTTATTGCCAAACAGAATATAAAACGTTTTGTCAATGTTAAGGGTGAGTTTGTTGGCAGTTAGCCAAAGATGGACTTTCTCTAGCTCAGTATTTACTGTGGCATTTAGAGCAAGGGGGTCAGGACTGGAGTAAATGAAGGTTGTGTCGTCAGCAAATAGAATTGGTTTGAGGTGTTGGGAGGCATTTGGAAGGTCATTAATGTAGATGAGAAAGAGGAGAGGGCCAAGTATGCTGCCCTGAGGAACACCAATGTTGATGGGTAGGGTGGGAGAAATTGTATTATTCACAGAAACATACTGGAGCCTGTCAGTAAGATAAGATTTGAGGTATTGCAGGGAGTGTCCTCTGACTCCATAATGATGCAATTTAAGAAGAAGGTTTTGATGGTTGACAGTGTCAAAAGCCTTACGCAGGTCCACAAATAACCCAACAGGAAACTCCTTTTTATCAAGAGCTGCGTGAATTAAGTTAATCATACTAATAAGTGCATCGTTAGTGCTTTTTTTGGGTCTGAAGCCATATTGACAAGAGCTAAGTATATTGTGTTTGGCTAGAAAAGAGTAAAGCTGCTTGTAGATTAGCTTTTCGAATATTTTTGACAAGTTAGGCAGGATTGATATAGGTCTGTAGTTGTTAACATCAGTGAGATCACCACATTTGTAGACAGGGGTTACTCTTGCTTTTTTTAGAATGTCAGGAAAGGTTTGGAGTTCAAGTGACTTGTTGAAGAGCAATGCAATAGCAGGGGCTAGAGATCTGGAGGCTTTTTTGTAAATTAAAGTTGGTATCTCCTCGAGGGCACTAGTCTTGGTTTTAAGGGAAAGGATTATTTCATTGACATCAGTGGAACTAGTAGGCTTTAGGTACAGAGACTGTGGATAGTTACCTGTAAGATAGTCCTTAACATCAGTACAGGATAGTCCTTAACATCAGTACAGGCAAAAGCAATTTGTAAAGCACAAACTATGGTATATAATATTGATTGGTGAAGCACTGTTATTCTATGTAATAATTTTTAGTGCTTATTATAATTTACTAAGAACAACTAATATTTCTCAAAACAAAACTACGAGCCTTCAATAGGAAGTAGCTGATCTGTAATATTCTAAGAGCATGGACAATAGTAGGTCAATTTTACAACCCATGTGGGATCTGAAAACTACAATTTTCCTTATAATTGAACCAATCACGACTATTCTGCTATCTAGGTTGACGGATGGATACTGTGAGACGTAAATTGGTACGTGAGGAAGAGTTTGGGCCTTAGAAAAAAAGTAACTGGGAATATATCACATATTTACTAATTCATATTCAACATATTGACTTTAAGCATTAAGTCATATATGTGCTGTCTTGTGTGAGAACGGGTTGAAATATAACTGATATAAACACGAGCGCACTAAATTTTGAAAAAGAAATTCAAAACATGCCCATGCACTCGGCCCCAGGTCCAGACTCATGGAATTCAATATTTATAAAGAAATGCAAAGTGCCGGTAGCACAGGCACTCAGTATAGTGTGGAGGAAGAGCTTGGACACGGGGGAGATACCAGATGCACTTAAAGTAGCAGACATAGCCCCTCTACACAAGGGAGGGAGCAAAGCATTGGCAAAAAATTATAGACCAGTTGCACTAACATCGCACATCATAGAAGTATTTGAGAGAGTGATTAGGAGTCAGGTCACCAATTTCATGGAGACCAATGACCTTCACAACCCAGGCCAACATGGATTTCGAGCGGGAACACCGCTGCTTTTCCTTATTATTATATCAGATATAGACAAAAATACAAGTCACAGCTTCGTATCATCCTTTGCAGATGACACAAAAATCAGTATGAAAATTACCTCGGCTGAGGACATTGAAAAACTTCAAGCTGATATTAATAAAGTTTTCGACTGGGCATCAGAAAATAACATGATGTTTAACAGTGATAAATTCCAGGTACTCAGGTACGGTAAAAATGAGGACCTTAAACATAATACAGAGTGCAAAACACAATCAAATGTACCCATAGTAGGAAAACAGCATGTAAAGGATTTGGGAATAATAATGTCTGACGACCTAACGTTTAAGGAGCATAACCAAGCAAATATTGCGACAGCCAGAAAAATGATAGGATGGATTACGAGAACTTTCAAATTCAGGGATCCCATCACAATGGTTGTACTCTTCAAGTCACTTGTGTTGTCCCGTCTTGAGTACTGCTCAGTACTCACTTCCCCCTTCAGAGCAGGAGAGATTGCTGAAATAGAGGGAATACAGAGAACATATACGGCACGCATAGACGCAATAAAGCACCTAAATTATTGGGATCGTCTCAAAGCCCTCCAAATGTACTCACTAGAAAGAAGACGAGAGAGATATCAAATAATATACACCTGGAAGATACTGGAGGGCCAAGTACCAAATCTACACAGTAAAATAACAACGTACTGGAGTGAACGACATGGAAGAAAATGTAGAATAGAACCAGTGAAGAGCAGAGGTGCCATAGGCACAATCAGAGAACACTGTATAAACATCAGAGGTCCGCGGTTGTTCAACGTCCTCCCAGCAAGCATAAGAAATATTGCCGGAACAACCGTGGACATCTTCAAGAGGAAACTAGATTTATTCCTCCAAGGAGTGCCGGACCAACCGGGCTGTGGTGGGTATGTGGGCCTGCGGGCCGCTCCAAGCAACAGCCTGGTGGACCAAACTCTCACAAGTCGAGCCTGGCCTCGGGCCGGGCTTGGGGAGTAGAAGAACTCCCAGAACCCCATCAACCAGGTATGATTTAAGCTCTTTGCAACGTTAACAATGCATTTAACTGTAAATGAAAAGTCAGCAAATATAATGAGTGATTCCAAATCTTGGGAATTCCAAGAACCAATCTTAATTTAGTCCTTTGTATAGTGTTAGTAATTTTAATTGAAAACAATAACATTACAAGCAACACTAAGAGATTGAAAACTAAGGACGTGTGTTTTTATAAGTCTTATATGGCTGACAATGTGAAAACAAAAATTCATGACAGGTAATTCTTCCAGTTTAAAAGTGAAATAATGACGAAGTTAGACGTGGACACTCATGGAACCTCACCAGGAAGAAGTGGTGGTTTTAATTGTGGAGGAAGTGCCGAATTGGCTTCAGTCCCAAACATCCCGGATTAAAGATCAAGTCGATGGGATTCGTACAGGCTGCAAGAAAATATTAATTTGATTAATTAATATAATATTCCGACTAAGAGGACTATTTTGAATGATTATGCTAAGTATCATCTGAGTTCATCTTCCAAAGTGACTGGTTATGCAAGAAAGACCTGAGTTAGCCTGTTAGTTTCACTGATTATGATAAGATAAATCTAAATTCATCTGTTGTTTACCTAGAGTTATGGAAGGGAAACCTGAATTTGTTTGTTAGTTTGACTGGTTATTATATCATATTATACATAATCCAAACAGTTAAATATTTAAGTACAAGTGGATACCAGTAAGAATGAATAATTAAATCACATTCATTACATACTCGACTTTTCAAGCAAGTGCAAAGACGAACCTACAATATAAAACATCCATAAAGAAGTAACCACATAATGAAATATATTCCTAGTAGCTATGTTATTAACACTTAAGATAAGTTGCACTATACTGACGGTTGGGTATCGTTACGACCTCCTTAGGCAGGTCCTCACACTGACCCTTCTCCCGGTCACACTCTGTTGACACAAGACACATCATCAGTCCACCTCTGTTGTCAGGTGTCTACCTCAGTAATATTTAACGAAAAAAGCACTTGGATTATATATATATGTTCCGGTGAACTAAAGGCAATACAATTATTATCATTATTATTATTATCAGTGCTAGTAATAGTATAATTATTATCATTCATCATGCACGATATAATTATCATTTAACTATTCCAGTAATGATTTAAACAAGTAATAATAATTCATTATACAAATGAACTTTGCCCTGAGTATTAAGGCTCCATCACGTGTCTTAACTCACCCGCAACCATAGTCTCAATGAAGACTCGCTCCTGAGCCATGACCTTCACCTCACCCAGCCACTTCTCAGTGTCCTTCTCCGGGTCTGGAGAGCCTTTGCTGATCATGCACAGGTCAAAGGCGCACGAATCTGCCGGGAGAGGGGGAGGAGAAAGGAGGTGTTGACTCTATGGTCACTGCTCATATTGTCTCTATACCGAATATTCATTTTTATGGCATATAATTCGTATTTATTTGTTTCTCTAGAGAATGTATTTTAATCAAGTGCTGTCGATCGCATCTTCAGCTTCTATTCCTTAAACTCTGTTTCTGTGTTTATCTTTCTGTTTCTATATTCCCCTTGTATGTTTCACTTTTAATTCTGTTTTCCCTTGCGGAAGTCTTATCCACAAGTTATGCTGAGCTCCCCGGAGGCACTCTGGTCATCCCCCTGATGGTATTTTTTGCCCACAAGTACCTGGCTGACCTCCATGGAGGGACTCTGACTATTCCCTGGTGGTAGTCTTACCCACAAGCACCTGGCTGACCTCCATGGAGGGACTCTGACTATTCCCTGGTGATAGTCTTACCCACAAGCACCTGGCTGACCTCCATGGAGGGACTCTGACTATTCCCTGGTGGTAGTCTTACCCACAAGCACCTGGCTGAGCTCCCCAGAGGCACCCTGGCCATTGGATTTTGCCCCACCAACAGTCTGCTGGCACAGTGCCAACATTCTCTTCCATGAAACATTGTCCTGCTGGCATTGTTTGAACGTTGCTTGAGACTCCTGTAGATAAAATAGAAAAAATCCTGTTATTCTTTGACAACTTATTAAAGAAGCAACTTCCAACATAATAAAGACAGTGGACCTTCCACAGCAATCCTGTAATATTTGTTTGTGGAGTTTTAATAGTATTACTGATTTTTTGTTTAATCTGAGCTTAATTAAGGATACAGAAGAATATATATAATGATAAGGGATTAAATAAATATTCAACAAAAGGTATTCAAACTAGAAAAAATAAAATATTTTATTATTCCGGTAGTTCTAATTAAATATTCTTTTAACATAGTTCCCAATAAAACTTTGTATATAATAAAAGGTGTTGGTTAATTTCTCATTTGCAGTGCTTTATTGGAACACTGAGAGAAGAAAACTAATTTCTATTATCTTTCTTTAGTGCAAATAAATGCTTGATGCTCAAAATTAATTAGTTGCAATATCCGCATATGATTAGAAATTCCAAAATGTATAAATTATCGGCAGTATATAGTTTATAAAGAATAAATTTAAGGATTAAAGCATATCCATTTATCCTATTGATTTATGACAGGATATAAATCCTAGTTATCATTACAATGGCTCACCATTGTTGGGAGACAAGAAGCCGAATAGGGTTATCGAGGTTCCCCCCCCAACCCATCATCCCCATACGACAAGGACTGATGGGTCAACAGGATTCAACCCACGACAGTTTAGTTGTCACTCAGCAGACAACATTCTAACTAACCGTGTTGATGGATCTCCTGCGTCTCCCGGCGGCTCTGCAGGCGGGGTTGGTCTGGTCCGGTGTCTGCAGGCATAATATTGCGGTTAGTTTAGCTCTACCCCCGTAGTGTCTGTCAGCTGTTGAACACAACACCCCTATTATGTGTCAGTGTGAGGTTCGACCCTCAGGAGCGCTCTATGGTATAAAATGGCACTTTTGCAGGACAGTTTTCCGCCTCTCACTGCTCCTAATATTACACTAAGCCGTGATTTGCTCACAATACACTGTGTATTACCTTCCAGGACTCAGCGAACACAACAGGGGCGTTGAGCGTAGGGTTGTACGGCACGTTGTTCCTAGTAGTGAAGTCGTTGCCAGTGTTCTTGTCCGGAATACCACACAAGCCGCGAAGCTCAGAATGAATATTAGGGTTGGCCCACACGTCGAAGCGAATCTTGCAGTGCTGGAGCTGAAAAGGCAGTAGGGAAAAGAGGTGGTGAAAGGGTAGCAGGAAAGATCCCCCAAAGGGTCCCTAGGTAATAATCTACTCTCATTTGTTAAATATAGATGTGACCCTTATCGAGATAGAGGTTCGGGTGCATCTACCAGTCATGGAGACATGGCGAGAGTTGTGGAGACTGGTATAACAATCTGACAGTCTAAAGCTATCTTTGGCAAGCACCTTCATATTACAACTTTGCAGCAATTTAAAGAAATATTATACCACTCAAGTCAAGATTGAAACCAGAAGACGCGACCAGGCCATTAGCATTACATGAGAATGAGAAGGAGCCATAAGAAGACGACACCGCGAACACTGTTTATGTAGACCAGACGTAAATCTGTGTATTTATGAATTTATGTTTGTAGGTTAGATTAGCATTTTAAAAGCACCCTTCTGGGGTTGATTGTTCTATAAATCACTGAACTCTATGTTTAACAGATCTCTAACCCTGTACATGGAGGATAAGAGAAAATCCATATATATGCTGGCTAGCGTTGTAATTGTGGCCTTGACTAGGGTAGAAAATAATAACAAAGAAACTATACATGTACGATAAGAAGCAAGATTATTGTATAAAAATGTATTATTTTAATTTAGATTTAACTAAAAATAATGCAGCCTAAGTGGATTTACCACAAGACCTTCAGAGATCAGCGCCATGAGGCACTCTCCCTCTCGTTAAACTTACCATAAAACCTCCATACACCAACATCTTTAGGCACTCTGCCTAGCCTCAGGCTCACATTACGATTCTGAGAGCCCAGCACCCTGAGACATTCTCCCTGGCGCGAGACTTACCAAAAGACCTTGAGAGCCCCCTGAGACATTCTCCCTGGCGCCAGACTTTCCACAAGACCTTGAGAGCCCAGAATCCTGAGACATTCTCCCTGGCGCCAGACAAGGACATTGTGCTTGACTCCTCCGGCGGTCACCCTCTGGGCTTAGGGACCCGCTGGCACCTCAATCTCTTCACCGTTTGCACGAATCTGCAGAACACAAAATTGTTTCACTGCTCCTAATATTACACTAAGCCGTGATTTGCTCACAATACACTGTGTATTACCTTCCAGGACTCAGCGAACACAACAGGGGCGTTGAGCGTAGGGTTGTACGGCACGTTGTTCCTAGTAGTGAAGTCGTATTACTACACATAATATGTATGCTGTATAATACACTAATAATAATACACTGTATAATACACAAATTATTTACGGAGGGAGAACAGGAAAAAATTTCAGAGAATTAAATAAAATTGTGCCAAATAGTAAATAAAAAAAATTAGGTACATTCAGAAACAATTTAGACTGAACTATATTAAAATAATCCTGGCCTAATAATTGTATCTATTTGTAATCACACTACCTCAATAAATGACTAGGAAGGCATACATCTTGGAAATCAACAACAGCAGAACACAATGTGGTTAAACACTCTACGGACAATCAAACCCGTATTTCATATTTTATGTGAGTTGTTTGTGGTCGTAATAGTAGCCAATTATACTAAAGTAGGGCATGAGGGTCAACTCACACCCACCCTACGACACTATACAATCACAACTCACCATGGAAAGCTATTTTTTTTATTTAGACATGAATATTTCTCCGGGATTTTTCGAACAAAATCGTTAATATAATATAGTAAACCATCGAAAAATCGAAGACCATCTCTGTACTTAACACTTTTTATAAATATGTTTGTAAGCAATGATGCCACTTATCTCCAAAGTTCTTCCAATTAGTATTTTTGTATGTATAATAGCAAGAGTTATCTTTTTATTATGTAAGAATAACCGCAGTAATGTAAAATCCTGGTAATTAATAAGGATTTATGAGCAAAAATCAATTCTCACAAGTTTCTATGGGGAAAAAATGGAAATTGATGTAAGACGCATTGGGCTTGGAAACCCCCTTAAACTTCAGCTGATGTTGACCTTCTTCAAAGAATTAATATTGATATGTTTGTTTTATTTGAAGTGATATGTAATGACCGTGTGGAGAAGACTCTTGATTGGTCCAGAGATCTCTTGGAAATACCAAAACAATTTCATATGCACATGTGATAATTTGTTTATCTGTACATTCTCTCTATTTATTGTTATGATCTCAGCCTGCAGGAGAAACGAGTCTCCCTTCTTGAGAGTTATTCAGCAAGCCTGACCTAACTAGAAGGTCTAGCAAATTGAGGTAATAATCCATATGTAAAATAGTTGGTTGGATATGTGTAACAGTTTGAGATTATGGGCAATGCAGAAGAAAATAGATAAAGGACTGGCTAGGAGATGTGGACATTTTGCTGGAGGCTTGAGGCTCGCTTCTGGAGGACCTTGACCTCACTTGAGTGCCAGACATCGCGGGGGGAAGCCGCGCTCCGTTGAGCTCCCGTCAGAAGGGAACCCCTAGTGATATATCTCTAAGAGAAGAGAAGTGTGCAGACGTGCCAGCTGTGGAATCGAGCTGGGGACGTGTGGTCTCAAGTCGTGGACGATAATTAGTGAATATTAAGCCGCCCGGAGGCATTATTGTGGGCTGTGTGGAGCGCCCTGACCAGACGCCGTCAGAGGAAAAGCGCCCTCGATCAGTTAATCTGTGGTAAGCACGATATACGCCAGTTCATAGTGATTGCATTGTAGTTGGTCGTGTGCCCAGCGACAGTAGCGATGTTTATTTATAAGTTAGACATGTTTTAATAAGGCAGAAGGCCTGAAATAGGAGAGTGAAGAGGGAGGAACACGGAGCGACGTCCGTCCTCTCTGAGCGCTGGCGGACGACTGAGGGAGCCTGGCTCCGGATGGAGGAAGACCCTCCCAGCGAGTGAGGACCGCCGCCAGGCGAGGTGGAGTATGGACCCGCCCAAAACGGGGGAGTCCACTCTCACTGTATGTAGAGGACAGATAGAGGTTGGAGGCAAGCATATTGTGTGGTTATTTTTGTTTATGTGTTAAAGGGGAACATTTTATTGGAACGTCGATGGGTTGCAGGTTTGTCTTTGGGGAAGAAGTTGCTGAGAACTTCGAAGCCAGCAGATGATGTAGCTGATGAGACTCCAAGGTAGTGGAGCAGAGGACCTCGAGCTGTGAGGAGAAGCAGCAGTGAAGAGGAGTGTCACGTGCTTCTGTAGAGGTGGTGTAGCAGCCAAGAGAGCTGTGGAGGAACCTAGCAGAAGGGTGAAGCACCGTAGTTACTCAAGGAAACTTCATGATAGCAGCCTGGAGGAGCTGCAGAGGATCCTGGTAGTGAAGCCCGGCAGAACCTAAAGATATTAGGGTAGTGAACTTCCAGAGGTGGAAGGGGAAGTTCTGGTGGATTACTTATAGGGAGTTGATAGTGTTTGGTTGTCATTAGCGTGCAAGACGCAGTGAGAGGTGAGTGACTGTTGGCATTCTTACGTCAAGGAGTTTTTTCATACTGAAGTATCAATGAACATTTATACTGGTATATGTTATTGCATTCAAATGCTGATTTTCTGTATATATACATTATCTTGCTGATAGTGCAACAGTGTATGTAGGCTTGACCAACTTGAGGAGGTTAATAGTATCAGGTGGTAACCAGGAGATAGGATACCGCTTGATAAGCTGATAATAGAGTTCTGATGGTGTTGGAGTGCAACCTGATTGTGATATTATAGAGTATAGGATTCATTATTATTATATGTGTGTATGTATCGTGTATGTGCTTTGTCAAGTAAATGTGTCACAATTTGCTGGTGTTTGCCCTTGTCCTAGTGAGGCTTCCCAGGAGGTAGTAAAGAAGGAGAGAGAAAGAACCAAGAACCACTGCTGTGGACAGGGTAGGAGGTAATACTAGTAAGTCATAGGGGATTGAGGAGATCATATCTCATAAGGAGAGAGTGGGGAGTCACAGCGGCTCGAGTGGGTGTGTGCACGTGACAACGAGGCTAAGTGTTGGAGCCGCATCCCCTGAACGTGTGACGTTGAGCCCCTCTCCAAGAGCCAGAAGCGCCAAGGGTGATCTCCTAGTATAAGCACTCTGCCGAGTTGTGGGTTGGGTTATCCATAGAGAAGGATCGACGACGACAACACCAACCAACCCACAGTCTATAATAAATTGGGGGCCTGTGTCCGGGAGAGTGAACTGACACACCCACACCCTGTCCAAGAGTGGATTTGTACACCCTTGCTGAAATAAACTGTGTGACCGCAGGTGTATATTCTCTCTCTTGGGAAGACTCACAGGACAAAGATGGATAAGGTGCAAACGTTTGTGGAGTCAGGCAAGCCCGAGGACTTGGAAGGTTGCACGAGGGATCAATTGAAACAAATAGCAGGAAAATGTGGCATCAGGTTGAAAGCATCTAAAGTAGCTGGGATGAAGGATGAGATCCTGAGGCAGTTAAGAGCCAAAAGTGAAGCGGCAGAGCAAGGAGCCCAAAAAGGAGCTGAAAGTGGAAAGGAGGAAGATGGGCAGGATGAAGTGAGATCCCAGGGATCGAGTAGGAGCAGCAAGAGTAGCCGCAGTAGCAGGAGTAGCCGAAATAGGAGCTTGGAGAGATTCCAGTTAGAGCTCCAGATGCAGCGTGAGGACAAGGAGAGACAGTTCCAGCTGGAAAAGATGAAATTAGAACTCCAGATGAAAAATGAAGCCGAGAAGGAAAAAGAGAAAACCAGGCTGGAAGTAGAAAAAGAGAAAACCAGGCTGGAAGTAGAAAAAGAGAAAACCAGGTTGGAAGTAGAAAAAGAGAAAACCAGAGTAAGAGAACTGGAGTTGGAACAGGAGAAAGAAAAAGAGAAAGCAAGGCTAGAGGTGGAAAAAGAAAAAGAGAGAACAAAACAAATGCAGATAGAAGCGAATAGAACCTTGGCTGAACAAAGGATTGAACATGGGTTGCCAGAGAACACCACCCAGGTATCACACCCACCAGATGTTAGGGTTAGGGAGAAGGACATTCCCTTGTTTGTTCCCGAAGAGGCAGAGAGCTTTTTCGAGCACTTTGAAAAAGTAGCCAGCATCAAGGAGTGGCCACAGGAGGAATGGGCCCAGCTGGTCCAGTTAAGATTGACCGGTGCAGCCAGGGAGGCATACACCCAATTGTCACTGGAAGAGTGCCAGGATTACGCCACAGTAAAGAGCAGCATATTGCGCTCGTTTCAGTTAACCCCAGAAGCTTATAGAAAGCGCTTCAGAGAGATGATCAAAGTTGGAGCATGTACGTTTGCTGAGACAGCAAGGGATCTGGAAAGACGATTCCAGAAGTGGATTGAGGCTGCTGGAGTTGGATCTTACGCTGACCTGAAGCAACTGATGGTCATGGAGAAGTTCTTGGAGATGATGCATCCCGAAACAAAGTTCAAGATCCAAGAAGCAGGGATAATGGAGGTGAAAGATGCCGCAGATAGGGCGGATATGATTACTGAAGCATACAATAGCTTGAGGGAGAACAGAGTGAGAAGCGAGGCGAGACGCAGCAATGGCAGGCCCAATGGAGTCTGGGGAGGAAGAAATTATGAAAGACCCAGAAGAGTCTGGGGTGAGAAAAATTTTGATAAATGGGCAGATAAAAGTAAGTACCCTAAAACTCAGAAGAGTAGGTCGCGCACTTCGTCTGAAAGTGAAGATGGAGGAGCTAAACGAGAAACTAATCGTTATCCTGGAAATCGAGAGTCCAGTAAAACCCCACAGAGTGCAAGTAGTGTACCTGGCCCGAGGAATTCTCATACGAGTGGGCAGAGTCAGAGCTACTCTGGTACATATAGAAGAGACTTTACCCAGATGAGATGTTACAATTGTAACGGATTGGGTCACGTGATGCGAGATTGTAGACAGGGCAAGAGAGTTGTGACCCTGGCCATGTGTGACCCCGGAAGTAAATATACTAATGTGTTCCGAGACAAACCACAGAGAGCGAACTTAGTGAACGAGAGGTATAGACCGTTCATGAGCAAAGGTTGGATCAGTATAGGAGGCCAACCTGAGGTAGAAGTTGGTATCTTAAGAGATACCGGAGCTAATCAGAGCTTGATTGCGAGAAGCCTGATTGGGAATGGTCGACGGTTAGCTGGCAGTGGGAAGATGAAAGTATATGGGTTATTGTCTGAGAGTGACATGCCCGTTTGTACTGTCCAGCTAAGGTCGGAATATGTGTCGGCAGAGGTGATGTTGGGAGTGTGCCCCGACATACCTATTCCAGGAGTCCAAGTGATCCTGGGGAATGACTTGTGCGGGACAAAGGTGTTGCCAAGAGTCATAGTGGAGACTGTGCCAGAGGAGTGCCCAGAAGGCCACGGCACGTGTGGGACACCTGAGAGTGTGAACCTGACTGACATCCGAGAAGATGAGCCAGGAGACCGCCAAGCCATTGAAAACCCTGTCTCGGTAGTGACGAAGGCAGAGGTGGCCGACGAGGAAGACGCTGGAGAAGGTGAGACAGTGTCGATTCAACCGGTGGAAGATATCGACGTAGATATAGCATGGCTGTTTGATGAAGGTCCAGCCCAGGAAAATGAAGTCTCGGTGAGGTCAAAAGTGAAGATGGCCCAGCCGAAGAAGAATACTGTGGAGAGAGTTGACCTGAGTAAAGCCCAGACTGCTGAAATTAAGAGTCGGAAGGTGAATGCAACTGTGCTGAGTAGGAATGAGGAAGGATGTGGACATACAGAGGACGAGAGTAGAGCGTCAAGTTGTCCACGAGCACAGAGGCATTTGGGTAGTAGAGTTAAGTTGTGGGAGATGTCAAGAGTTGACATGTTCCACAGGAAACGTGAAGAAAAGATAGTGAAGAAGAGTAATAGCCGGGAAAATGAAAGAAGAAGAGACAGTATGTGTGGAGAGATGCTTACGAGCACTCTGGGAGAGGCAAAGCGACATGTATGGTCGAGTGCTGTTGGATGTAGTACAGTGCCTGAAGAAACTTTTAGGGAACGAAGAAGAGTTGAAGGAGAAGAAATGGAGTTGTATAGAGGTGAGAAGTGCAGGAAGAAGATGATGATACAAGCATGGAGGAGTAGAAGAAAGCCGAGGACTCGGTGGGAGTCGAACAGGATGAGGTCTCAGATAAATGAGGAGACGAAAAGGAGAATCGTCGGTGAAGACGATGGAGTGAAGTATGATGACAGGAGACGAAAGTATAACGGCAGTAGATGGAAGTGTGAAAACGACAGAGGAGGTACAGACAGTAGATGTCTGACTCTGGACGTGAAGAGAGGAAGACGAGGAAACGGAAGGTGGAAACAATAAGTAGAGTGGACCGATGGAGTGCAGGCGTCCAAGGAGGACAGCCTAGCCAAGAGGTGTCAGAGGTCAAATCGTTTATGAGAAGATCATGTTTCTGGAGAGAGGTGAGCCAGATGTTGCAAGGAGCAACGAACTAATTGTAGACTCCTAAGAGAGTATATCGGGTGAAGAACGAGACAGTGTGGTGGCGGATGTATTATCCCGAGCTTTGCCACTGGAATAACTCTCAAAAATAAGGGGAGGGGAGTGTTATGATCTCAGCCTGCAGGAGAAACGAGTCTCCCTTCTTGAGAGTTATTCAGCAAGCCTGACCTAACTAGAAGGTCTAGCAAATTGAGGTAATAATCCATATGTAAAATAGTTGGTTGGATATGTGTAACAGTTTGAGATTATGGGCAATGCAGAAGAAAATAGATAAAGGACTGGCTAGGAGATGTGGACATTTTGCTGGAGGCTTGAGGCTCGCTTCTGGAGGACCTTGACCTCACTTGAGTGCCAGACATCGCGGGGGGAAGCCGCGCTCCGTTGAGCTCCCGTCAGAAGGGAACCCCTAGTGATATATCTCTAAGAGAAGAGAAGTGTGCAGACGTGCCAGCTGTGGAATCGAGCTGGGGACGTGTGGTCTCAAGTCGTGGACGATAATTAGTGAATATTAAGCCGCCCGGAGGCATTATTGTGGGCTGTGTGGAGCGCCCTGACCAGACGCCGTCAGAGGAAAAGCGCCCTCGATCAGTTAATCTGTGGTAAGCACGATATACGCCAGTTCATAGTGATTGCATTGTAGTTGGTCGTGTGCCCAGCGACAGTAGCGATGTTTATTTATAAGTTAGACATGTTTTAATAAGGCAGAAGGCCTGAAATAGGAGAGTGAAGAGGGAGGAACACGGAGCGACGTCCGTCCTCTCTGAGCGCTGGCGGACGACTGAGGGAGCCTGGCTCCGGATGGAGGAAGACCCTCCCAGCGAGTGAGGACCGCCGCCAGGCGAGGTGGAGTATGGACCCGCCCAAAACGGGGGAGTCCACTCTCACTGTATGTAGAGGACAGATAGAGGTTGGAGGCAAGCATATTGTGTGGTTATTTTTGTTTATGTGTTAAAGGGGAACATTTTATTGGAACGTCGATGGGTTGCAGGTTTGTCTTTGGGGAAGAAGTTGCTGAGAACTTCGAAGCCAGCAGATGATGTAGCTGATGAGACTCCAAGGTAGTGGAGCAGAGGACCTCGAGCTGTGAGGAGAAGCAGCAGTGAAGAGGAGTGTCACGTGCTTCTGTAGAGGTGGTGTAGCAGCCAAGAGAGCTGTGGAGGAACCTAGCAGAAGGGTGAAGCACCGTAGTTACTCAAGGAAACTTCATGATAGCAGCCTGGAGGAGCTGCAGAGGATCCTGGTAGTGAAGCCCGGCAGAACCTAAAGATATTAGGGTAGTGAACTTCCAGAGGTGGAAGGGGAAGTTCTGGTGGATTACTTATAGGGAGTTGATAGTGTTTGGTTGTCATTAGCGTGCAAGACGCAGTGAGAGGTGAGTGACTGTTGGCATTCTTACGTCAAGGAGTTTTTTTATACTGAAGTATCAATGAACATTTATACTGGTATATGTTATTGCATTCAAATGCTGATTTTCTGTATATATACATTATCTTGCTGATAGTGCAACAGTGTATGTAGGCTTGACCAACTTGAGGAGGTTAATAGTATCAGGTGGTAACCAGGAGATAGGATACCACTTGATAAGCTGATAATAGAGTTCTGATGGTGTTGGAGTGCAACCTGATTGTGATATTATAGAGTATAGGATTCATTATTATTATATGTGTGTATGTATCGTGTATGTGCTTTGTCAAGTAAATGTGTCACAATTTGCTGGTGTTTGCCCTTGTCCTAGTGAGGCTTCCCAGGAGGTAGTAAAGAAGGAGAGAGAAAGAACCAAGAACCACTGCTGTGGACAGGGTAGGAGGTAATACTAGTAAGTCATAGGGGATTGAGGAGATCATATCTCATAAGGAGAGTGGGGAGTCACAGCGGCTCGAGTGGGTGTGTGCACGTGACAACGAGGCTAAGTGTTGGAGCCGCATCCCCTGAACGTGTGACGTTGAGCCCCTCTCCAAGAGCCAGAAGCGCCAAGGGTGATCTCCTAGTATAAGCACTCTGCCGAGTTGTGGGTTGGGTTATCCATAGAGAAGGATCGACGACGACAACACCAACCAACCCACAGTCTATAATATTATGAACATAATAATTATATATAATAAGAGAACATAATTCTCTTTATATTATGTTCGGAAATTAAAGCAAAGTAGTTGAAACTGTGTCTTACAAAATACTACCTGTACAGGTAGAGGTACATGGTTAGGGAGGTTATCATCAATACTATACCAACAGCACTATAGAATGGACATTAATTATATAGGAAGCGAACAGATTAAGATGTCAAAGTTAATTCCGGGCAACAAAAGCCTCTAGTTCAAGGAAGAATAAACAAAATAATTTTACATTCTACAGATAAGCGAAGATTGAAGACGTACATGACAGAAATATGTAAATGAAGCAAAGAGTATAACAAGGGAGATATTAAAACGGGGCTAAATATATCAACACAAAATAGGACAGAAAAAATGGATTAAAACTGGATACGTTTAGAAAAGATCTCGATAAATACTGGCCTTCAGATAGGGTTGTTAAATTACTGAACACATTGTTAGGTGACAAAGAACTTGATGTCACTGCATTATTATTAGCGTAGGTTAGACATATATAAGTGTTGATGGATGCTAATAGTAGATGCCTCGCATGGGCCTATTGGCCTTCAGTAAGTTCCTGTATTCTTATTTTCTAGTACTTACAAAACAGATTTAATTGTTATTGATTTATCTATTTATCTATCCACAGTCCTGCTTGTATGTTTGCTTACACACGTGTAAAACCACTAGTATAAAAACATACATATCACTGCGTATCCGGCCATGAGTCTGGCCCTTCTTTCTACATAATCAGATGTTTCGTGCTCTGGAAATGTCAACTTACCTTGAAAATGCCTGGAGAAGCGAGTCCCTATTCTCCTATCTCAATCTGAAGCTCCGGGTTGTCTTTGAAGGTGGTCTTTTGGACGCAAGAGGGCATGTTGTAGCAGCGCCTGGCGAAGGTCTCTCTTTGAGTAAATCGTTCTCAACACTTCAATGCGTTCATATATTTTTCACCCACTCTGCATTTTGTTTTAGTGTAGCTATGTATAAGGAAATATATAATACTGAACTATGCCTCGAGAGGACTGCTTCGCAAAGAAACTCACCGGAACTGTGCGAAGATGCCGTAATCGGGATTGAGGCTGTTCCCTTTCTGGGAGATGGCGTATTTGCAGACTCCGTGGTAGTCGAACCCGTGACGGTCGTAACTCCAGAAGTTTGGGTCGTCGAAGACCTCGCACTGCGGACCTGCGGTGGGAAATTCACTCTGAACTTCAAGTAAATACTTTCCCCTGCCACTATATTGTTCTCACTCCCTATTGCTGCATTAAGAAGGAAACACAAATGCTAGACAGTAAGCTTCCTCCTTTCTTGTTATTCAAAATTCTCTCTATCTATCTCTCTCTCTCTCTCTCTCTCTCTCTCTCTCTCTCTCTCTCTCTCTCTCTCTCTCTCTCTCTCGCCATGTCTGACGAGAAACTAGAAAGTATTTTAAAATCTGAGTGGCACTTCCGGCGGTGTAGACAATTTTAACAAAAAAAAACGGAACAAAATCGATAGCAAATTTATGCGACAAAGAGCTATTACTCGAGGAAGAAGACAACATACGTTAGGCACAAGACTACAAATACGAGACAAGGTGATAACTGCATGAGGGATAAACTAACAAGAACATGGAGACACGATAACAACTATATTATGAACAAGATGGCAAGTACAGTGTAACAAATACATGAAGGACTTGGTGGGGAGAAATACACGAATGACTAAGCGACAAAAACACGAAGCGCTAGGTGGCAATGGCTCATCCCGTCCTTGTGCACGCTACGGTAACCAACGATACAAATACAGCCTACTATGAAAAGTAAGAGCCCACAGGTATCTACGTTTTCTATGTAGTAGAGTAATAGGTTAGGAAGGTTGCCTGAGTTCCCACATTTCAGGTTAGGAGAAGAGGTTGGATTTTATACGTAGTGGTAAATCATGGGATGGGGTTGAATAAGCAGAGGGGGTACATACCCAGACGCGTAGGGTACCACATGCCCTCGCTTCAGTTATGCCAAGAAGTAGAAATACAACCGTATATTTAACAACCTTTTTTTTGCAAGGTCTTAATACATAAGCGTGTATTACAGACTGTATATTCAGTCTCACCTCAGGTAGGCAGCAAGGAGATGGGTGTCAGACGCTGGACGATGTTGGCGCCGCGGCGGAGGACCTGTGTCTGCCTCAAGGCATCTTCTCCTCGCTTATATACGTCTAGAGGAGCAACAGCCCAGGTCACGGAGGACGTGATATATCTTGATCAACAGAGCTAGAGACCTTGATACTGGAGACTGGCACTTTGTGTGTCACCAGGGCCGTAAACTGGCACTTTGAGTCGCCAGAGTTGGAGATTGACACTTTATGTGTCATCAGGGATGGAAACTGGCACTTTATGTGTTATCAGGGCTGAAAACTGATACTTATTGTGCCACCTCCGTGACACTGCATCACGAGGGCTTGAGACTGGCACTTACTCGGTCACCACCTGTTAATGTAATGGTTGTGGGAGCGAGAGTGTGGCCCGCGTCCCAGTCCGCAGCTCCCAATGCCATAAGACGTAAGTTCTCCAATCGCAGGAGAACTGTGATGCGCCTCGAGGATTGGAGACACATTTGTGATCTGTCTACATCTTGGATCCATGTTTAATCAACCTCGGAAATATGCGCAGTTGTTTACTACGTATTAGGATTTGATATATATATATTTTGACTATAAATTGCTATTGGGACAATGCTATGTTGTTTGTTCATAATTGCTAACGTTTTATGTTATTTAATCTATGCTCTGATCGGAGTCTAAGTGTCATTTATGAACTAACTTGAAGGGGTACCCGGATGTGCCCCAGTCGATCCCAAAAAGGTGTTTTGCATTTATTCTCCAGAATGACTTCATCAGGTCCATGAAGGGAGGCAATGGGGGCTAACCCTGACCACCTGCCAAATGACAGAAAAAACTAATAGTGACCCAAAAAGATTTCGTTGGTTTTGGTGCAGAACCCAAGGCTATAGAACCCCCTTTCCCCAATGTATGGCCCTGAACACCGATGTGTGGTTGACCCCAAAATGTTTTGCCATTAAGGTATTAGGAGACCCAGAATGCGAATCTATCAACTAAACACGATTTTTTTTATAAACTGAAGAAATTATAACACTCTGTGGTCTATGCACATCATATTTCAGTTCCACTGATTTCGGAGTCATGGAGTTCAACCCCGACTCCATTCAAACGGGGTATGGGGGGACCGACTTTGATCCCATCCCACTATTGACAGCGAAATAAAATCATCGCTATGCTTACAATTTTAGAAATGAGAATAATTTATTAGTTATAACGAATTTTGATATATTTACATTCACGGGCAAGCTTGAATCAAATTAACTTGGAACATAGCTAATAATACTAGTGCTTTGATTTGTACAGAACTTTATGTGCCTTTAGAGCAGCTCATTACACAAATTCCTTAATAATATCGTCTCATGATCAGGGAGGTCCTGGTGTGGAGGCTCTGGTGTGGAGGTCCTGGTGTGGAGGCCCTGGTGTGGAGGCCCTGGTGTGGAGGCCCACTATGGTACACACTCATCACTTTCAAATTACGTCTAAACATATCAAGCGATCCAACGTCTACTACGTTACCCGGTAATTAGTTCCAAAATCTACCATCCCCATCCCCATTTTCAAATCATTATTTACGCAGGCCTTACGTGAATCTAAAGTCATCCAATTTATATGCATTGTTCCTTGTTCTATTTAGTGTTGACATATTTAAAGCCTTAGGTATGTAATTCCTGTTGTCGGGGACAGTAAATTTGTGCTTAAGGCATCTGGAAGTCACCCTAGGCACGCCTAGGGGGCGTACCTAGGGGCACGCCCCCTGACGTCTTCAACGTAACCATTCGAGTAGCCATTATTGACTAGGATCTGCCTTACTCTACCTAGTTCCTCGTCGACCTGCTTCCAAACAAAGCTGTGAGTGAGAGCTCGGTCGACGTAAGCGTTGACAACACTCCGCTTGTACCTGCCCGGGGCAGTCACTGTTACCGAACGGTTACGTTGAAGACATCATTAAAATAAAGCTGACACGCCATGCAACCCCTGAAGAAGCAACAACACAACACCCGTAACCCCCTTATCAGACTGTTTTACAGGAACTACTTTTCCACGGGTTAAAAAATGGAGGAAAGAGTCCTGAAAGATATTATTGATATGAACGTTATTCCCACAGACACCAATCAGAAGATACAATTAACAATATATTACAAAAACAAGAAGACCACCAGCCTACTTATGAAGAATTCTCCAGATACCGAAAAAGAATGCATTAAGAGAGACTAACCTCGTCTATACCTTCACATGCCCACTTGGGGACTGTCAGCCCTAAAGATATCAGTGTATAGGCATGACCACAACGTCTCTCTCTCTCTCTAGGCGATTAACAATGCACAAGCAACAGGGCTCCACCAAGGAGCATATAATCTCCTCACACAACCAGACCATCACCAGAGATATCTTGTAACACCGTAAAGGTGTTTGGTTTAGTTGTATTTAAAATACATAGAGATTCAGGAGTCACAGACAGGGATTTGAGAAGGCGCGAGTTTGTCGGCCAGAAACTCACACCTCTAAGCGTTAATGACCTCAAGTGACCTGAGGTCAGATCATGTGAATTCCACCTCGCTTCTGCTAATCTGATAATTGGCCTTCAAACATGCCGACGTTTAAGGAGTGGCTTGGTAGAGTGCCTCGGGCTATTTACTTGTGGGCGGAGTTAGTTACTAGGTTCCCCAATATATGCTCGGAGAGCAGAGCATAGAGGAGCCAGCAAAGCAGAGGAGAAGACGGCCTAGCCAGGGAGGCTGTCAGCCGGCAGGGCGGGACAGTCTCTGTCAACTACAGACCCCCCCCCTCTCAGTCCACTTATAGGCAGACACTTGGTGAGTTGAACATTAAGGTGACTTGGTCGTGTTTACAACTGTTGTGTGAGGATCAGGGGCAGCCAAGTTGTAGGGTTCTCGAATTCTTGGATGATGACTCACTTTGCATCTTGAACATTAAGTTGAATTGCTTAAATTATGATACTTATCATGTGAAATATAATTGAATTTATTATTTAAATGGTCTTTAACTTTGTTCCCTAGAGTTTTGAGTTGAGGTGAGAAAGCCTCTGTGGTTACTGGGTTCTTGATTTTAATGAGTACATGTTTGGAGTTGATACTTGGTAATAACATCTTTTCAGAATATTGTAATACAGACAAGTTCCATTCCTTGTCTTGTATGTAATGGTCTTGAATGGATGGTGGCAGCATTCCCTATTTCTTCTTCTACTATCTATTTCTACTTCTACTATCTACTCTTCTACTTCTACTATCTGCATTTCTACTTCTACCTATCTACTCCTCTCCCTCCACCCCTCTCCGAACTCTCCCTTTCAGCTAATGACCCTCCTCGCTCCTCCCACCTCTCTACCTCCCTCACCCCAAACCCTCACTAATTACCTCATTATTCATCTCTTTCCTTTCGTTTCTCTTATACGTTTGTGGCAGTGAAATGTATTCTAGAGTTCTCTCTAGAGTTTCGGGTAACTGATCAAGTTACGGCGCTTTGTAGTCGTAGCACCTAGGTAGTCAAATACCTAGGTTACAAGTGCCGTACGAACTCTGGAAGTGCTCTAGAATAGTTAGCTAACCGAGGACGGGATAACGGACTAGAGAGAGCTGTTTCCCCCGGCCTCGTTAGTTAACTGGGGGTTGGAATAATGGACAAGAAAGAGCCATTTCCCCCCACCCCCCATTACAATCTTACCAAGCAGCACTGACATAATCAACAGGTATAGCAACAACAGAAAACTGGACATCAGCGAGGCACTACTCATCAAAAAGTCAAGACCAGCCATCAACAACCAGTTAA